GCCCAAATGCGGCCCGCATAGCCAGCAGAATCTACAGCCGACGCCGGACCTCCCAACCTGCATGCGACCTGCTGCCACCCACCGAGCCGCGCATCGGGACTGCGCCACCAACTTGGGGGCACTTGGACCAAAGTTCGTCGACTTCAGGGCCACGCGCAGTTGAGCAATGCATTGGCGCCACCTTGCGCAGCCCAAGTGGGCCGCGACCTCCGCGGGCAGAACCGCGGGGAGCAGCGCCGCCGGCCGGCGAGCACCGCGCCAGATGCAGCAGCGCGCTACAGGCGACATCGGCAAGGCTGCAACGATCCGCAACGTGATCGCGGACCACAACGCCGAGGGGGGGGCGTCTCACACACCGGCGAACGCAAATCGGCAACGACGGCGCCCTCAGGCGGGCAGTTCAGCGTCATCCACCGCGGCGACCAGCAGGAGACGGATATGGAGGCTTGTCCACATTACGGCCCCGACCCGTGGATGCCATGGCCGAACTCTGCAGGCGCCGTCAAAGCTGGCCGGCTGGACCTGCGCGACCTACTCACGGCGAGTCAGGGGGTTCTCCTCTGACCGCCCACAGCGCGAGGCAATCCTCGCGATCGGACCAGTAATACAATATTTGCCTTCGTGCAGACAGGGCCATGTAATGCAATATTTGCCATGTAATACAATATTTGCAATGGCGGCCGATCCGCGCGTTACTTCCCCATGTAATGCAATATTTGCCTTCGTGCAGACAGGGCCGCCAACTCCCATCTCTAGGCTACCCTTCTATCCGATGCGCGCACAAACACCGCGAAGACGGAAGCAGCGCAGCTGGTGGCACGGGAGCCGATTTTCTTTCTGGCGCATCGACAGCGTGAACGTCGGTGGCAACTGCGATCAGCGCGGGCCCCCACGGGGATTTTTTCCAGTCGAGCTCAGATCCTTGCCGCGAGAATCGCGTGGGCCTCCAAAGGGCATTCTCACCCGCCGCGCGTGGGGGCTCCACCAACCTCTACTCTCTACTGGTTCACCTTCCTGTAGCCCTGGCCCCCCCCCCACCTCCACACCGCACCCATCTAACCTCCGCCTTCGGACTAACCGCGGGCCGTCCTGGCAAGGGCCAGTGCGGCCGCTGCCGCCACTAGGGCAGCTGCCAACAGGGCGCCGACCCAAATCTTTGTGAACCTCTGCCGCCATGACTGCGCCTCCTCCTGCCGCAACGACGGCTCACGCCGCGACGCTGGCGCGTTCTCTCGCCACAACCGCATGCCAACCGTCCAGGAGATGGGCTTTAGATGTCATCGCCAGGGGGGGGGGCCAGGGTGCAGTGCGCACGCGGCGCGCCGCCGCCACGGTGGCAGAAACCACGCCCAGGCACGGTGGACCCCCCCCCAAGCGGCCACTTTTCCCGTGGTCTGGGTGGCTTGCCCCTGCTTCGGCAGAGGGGGGGCCGGCCATGGGGATGGTGAACTTTTCGGGGGGGGTCCCATGTGCGTGTCGTTTGCCGTTCGCCCTGGCGAGCGCAGCCTCCGCCCGTCTCTGCGAGAGTCGGGGGCCCCGCCGCCGCCTGGAGGGCGCAAGCCTGCCTCCCGCTCGGCGTAACACCCCCCGGGCGGCCCCAAGCTCAGTGCGCTGGGAGCCCTGCGCCTGTTGTTCAGGCGCGAGGGGTCCCGCCTTTGACCCTGGGGGCGTCTGTGGGGGGCCTCGATGAGCTGAGGGCGAGGCCCCTGCGCCCTCCGCGCCGGCGAGGGCGGAGAGGCTCCGCCGCCGTCGGGGCGCCGCCACCTCCACTGCCGGCAGCCTCTTCACTACCGCCATTCCAAGTCGTGGCTTGTCAGTCTGTGCTCCTCCTCCTCCTCCTCCTCCTCCTCCTCCTCCTCCTCCTCCTCCTCTTGCCTCAGAGCGTGAATTACCTACCCCGCTTGGTATCTCTTGGAAGCGAGGGTGGTCAAAAGCGAGGTAGGTTTGTTTTCCCCTCGTTACCATCGCGCCTGCCAGCCTCCGCGGCGCCCAGCTGCGGCTAGCTATAGCTGCCCCCGCAACTGGCGCGTCTGCCAACTCCCAGCCACTCCCTGCCTTCCACACTTGAAGAGGAGGCAGGAGGAGGAGGAGGAGGAGGAGGAGGAGGAGGAGGAGGAGGAGGAGGAGGAGGAGGAGGAGGAGAGGAGAGGGATGAGGAAAGGAGGAAGGAGGAGGAGGAGAGGAGGAGGGGGAGGAGCAGGGTGTGTGCGGGGGGGGCCCCACGGCGCCCCCGGGGCACTGGCCCCGGGTGGCCAGGGGACGCGAAGGGAGGAGGAACGACGACGGACCCTGCGGGCCCCCCACGGGCCACGTTTCAGAGCCCCGAATTATCAGGGGCAACTCGGGTCAGGGCTAACTCGGGTTCGTTTTTCGGGAGTCCGAACCCGAGTTATCCCGGACCCGAGTTACCCCGGATAATTCGGGCGTCCAGAGCCCCAAAATCATCAGGGGTAACTCGGGTCAGGGCTAACTCGGGTTCCTTTTTCGGGAACCCAAACCCGAGTTACCCCGGACCCGAGTTACCCCGGATAACTCGGGCGTCCAATCGTCCCCCTTTGTTTCCTCCTCCTTCTCTGGGGGCTCTCCTTCGCCTCTCCCCTCTCTTCCAGGGGGACGAAACGTGGCCTAAACGTACAAACTCGGAGGTCCGCGCGGATTTCTCGGATCGGCGCTGGACCCCCCTCCCTGGCGCGCGGAGCGTGCCAGGGGCGGCGCCGGAGGCTCCGCGGGGCGGCCCCAGCGCCGATCCGAGAAATCCGCGCGGACCTCCGAGTGTGTATGTTTATGTCACCTTCCGTTCCCCTATTTTCCTCCGTGAGTTGTTGGACGGCGGTCTCTAATTTTGTCGTTCTTGTTGTGCTCCCTTCAGGGGAGGGCCCGACTGGGCCCCCCTGGGGGAACTGGCAGCGTTCGACCAACCCCGTTGCCATCAGGGACACAATGACACAGGAGGAGGAGGAGGAGGAGGAGGAGGAGGAGGAGGAGGAGGAGGAGGAGGAGGAGGAGGACGAGCGCTTTCGGGGGCCTCTTGGGGGTAGTTTGAGGGCATCTTGAAAGGGACTTTGGGGGCCGCCTGGGAGCCTCGTGGGGGCCTATTGGGGCTTTCTGGGGGTCTCTTGGGGGCCTCTTGGGGGTCCCTTGGGGCCTCTTGGGAGGCTTCTTAGGGGCCTCAGGGGGCCTCCTGGGAGCTTCTCAGGCCGAGGGCTCGAAATGACCGTTCGGGGCCCCCGTCTGGGCTGCCTCTTGGAGCCGTCTTGGGGGCCTCTTCGGCTGTCTTGGAGGCCTCTTGGGCGGTCTTGGGGCCCTCTTGGCGCGGTTTGGTGTCTTCTTGGAGGCCTCTTGGGCCATCTTGGAGCGGTCTTGGGGGCCTCTTGGCCTGTCTCGGAGCGTCGGGAAGCTGACGCGGCGAGAATGCCGACATCTGTCAAACACCTACGGAAAATCTATGATTTTTGCCTCTTGGGGCCCTCTCGGAAGTCCTCTTGGAGGCCGCTTGGGGCGTTCTGGAACTTGATTGTAAGCCTTCTGAAGGCTACTTTGGCGACTTGGACCGACACTTCGGCGATTTTCGGGCCTCGAGGACCGTCTCGGGGGCATCGTGGGGCACTTTTGCCGCGTCTTGGAGCTTTTCTGGGCCCCCCAACCGCCCAGGGGGAGTCGTATTTGGGTGGCGACCTCCCTGGGACCGCCCCCCCAAGGGATCGTAGGGAAGGGGCTTCCCTTCGACTCAACTACAACGTTGCTCAATTTCGCTGTGGCTGGCGCGCTCGAGGAGGAGGGCCTGGTGAAAGTGGGGGGAGCGGCGACGGTCCTAGGGAAATGGGAGAGAGCGGCGAAGGCGACGACGACGACGACAACGACCACGACGACGACGACGAGTCAAATGGAACAGCCTCTTCCACACGCCGACAGATTCGGTGGATTCCCGTATCTTTGATAGTGGGTGTGAGTCCGTTGTGGATACCAGTGCCGTCGTCGATTTGCACAAACTGTTTATTGGGTAAACTATACAATGGACGAATGCGGGTCGTGGTTCTATATATGCTCGGTCAGTGTCGACGCCAGTGCCGGACAATATTCCATCCATTCTTATGGCGGCAGTCGGGCATGTCAGTGTGAAGCAGCATGGACGGTAGAAGTGGCGTCAACCATGGCGGGCCCAGGATTACCAACCTGTTGTTTCCCCTGGCAACGATTTGCCGTCACAGGTCTGACCCAGGTGTGCGTTGCAAGTGACTAGAGCGAAGGAGGGGGGAGAAGGAGGAGTAGAGGCAGGAGGGAGGGGGGGGAAGCGGGCGGAGGCGGGGGGAAGGGAGATCAGAGGAGGAGCCGGAGGAATAGAGCAGGAGGGGGAGGAGCAGGGCTTCTGGTGTGAGGCACGCATCGTCACGCGCTTCCAGGACGTCAGCGCGACCCCGCTGCACGCGAGCGCGAGGACGATGATGCGACCGCCTCAGCTCTTCGCTGTTAGAGGAGGCATCTCTCCTCCCTCTCTTGCCCTCCTCTGTCCCCCTCGCTCCGACCCGTCGTCCCTCCACCCCCCCCGTCCCCTGGCATCGCTCGGACGTGTGCATTTTTCTTTCGGCGAGGACCATCGAGGAGCATCCTTGATCATTTCGGAAAAAAAGCCACGCACGAAACCGAAAAAAACACAGGAAATGGACGTCCGAGCGATGGCCAGGTCCTCCTCTCCCATCGCCGCGGAGGCCCCACCAACCTGCTGGTGGCTGCTCGGTGGTCCCCCGCCTGTCCTCCTCCGTTCGGGGGTGGACAGACCTCCTACCCTGACACGTCTATTAGCGAATTGGCCGTTTTCTGTTCGCAAAAAAGCGCGTCGCGGCCGTCACTTTTGCGGGTCCAGGTCCGTCGGTTTCGGTCCCAGGCCGTTTTCATTAGGGGGAGGTTTACTAAAGGGAGGTTTGTCCACCGCCGAATCTTGCAGGATTCTGCAAGGCCTGACTGACCTGGGTCTGGATTGACCCCAGGTTAAAAGATCCCCGGAAGAAGGTCCCAAAACAGGCCAAGAGGCCTCCAAGACGGCCCAATAGGTCTTCCGTAGCCATTTCGGCTCAAGCTGCAGCGGCAGCAGCGCCATCGGGGCTGTCACAATTAAGGACATCCTCTGCACAACATATCCAGTTTCCGAACTTTTCTTCGCGACAATGACGCACGGCTTGTATGCGTGCCTTATTGTCTTACTGTTGCCGAGCGTAATTACCTGCGTCCGCTTTTCAAAATCGATTGGGGTCGAGTCTCAGAATGCGCTTGCCTCGTCAAGTGTGCCAGTGGCGCTGGCGACGGAGACGTCGTGCGGCGGCTACGGGTGGGTCATTCCGAGTGGGAACCATAATCCGAATTGGGGGTGCCCATCTGGAGTAGAGATCTGCGGCCATTTCGGTTCGTACACCGTCTTTTCGGTATCTCAGACGCTCCATGGGTCCGGCTCTGCGACAATTGATTTCCAAAACACTTGGGGCACCGACGGCTTCAGAGGGGTTGTGAGGTTGTATTTGAATAACAATCTCCAAAGGACTTTGACGAAATATGAAAGGGCTTCGGTGACTCTGAACTTCGTGAGTGGCGATGTTCTTAAGGTCGATGAGTGGGATACCGTCCTAGCAGTGCACAGCGTCACGTTCAGTTGCCCGACGCCGTCCCCCACGCCGAGTCCGACGCCGAGTCCCACGGAGGCGCCCATCAACAGCGGCCCAATGGTCAAGGGCATCGGCGACCCGCATCTCGCCAACACGCTCGGCCAGAAGTTTGACCTGCTTCAGGCTGGGTACCACACTTTGGTTCAAATCCCCAGGTGGGAGCGGCGTCGGATTAATTTCCTCGTGGAGGCGAGGGCGAGTCGCGCTGGGAGTGGGTGCGCTGATCTATATTTTACGGAGGTCAACATCAGCGGCACGTGGGCTCGTCGTCACAGGGCAACGGGCTTGCGTTGGGACGCCGAGGCTACGAGGCTGGCCAAACCAACATGGATGACCTTCCACAATGTGGTCAAGGTCAAAATTGTACATGGCCGCACAGCCCAGAACACGAAATACCTCAACATCTTCATAAAGGGGCTGCACGAGACAAGGGTCCCAGTGGGTGGCCTCCTCGGGGAGGACGACCACACTGCGGCCACCACCCCAGACAAGGGTTGCAAAGACATCATGACGCTGTGAGTCTTCTCCCGCCCGGGTCCCAAAGTGCAGAGTGTTTGCGGGACGAGGCTCCAGGAAGCTGGCGGGGTCGGCCGTGGTGGAGGGTCGGGGAGGATCCATCTCTCGTTCGAGTGCCGTGTGGGATACATAATGCGGGGGCAGTTAATTGCATGGCGCTGCAGCCCAGGGTAGCAGCGCCTTTCACGCAGCAGTATCCAGCGAGCTGCAGCCCAAGGTAGCAGCTCATGTACAGCGCTGGACTGTGGTCTTGTACTACAAGAACTGAGATACACAGTTGCTTTTTTGTTCGTTTTGATCCCTAGCCCTATCTTCCGAGGCGGCCTTCAATCGGTCGTGTTTACCCTCCATCCTACCGCATTTTCATTCTCAGCGCGCGTTTGGTGCAGCTCGCGGTTGGCGCGCATTTGGCGCGTCGGCTTCTTCGCCGTCGGGTAACTGACTTGTTCCCTGACTGCCAGAAAGTGCGGCAAGAAAACGGCCCAATAGGTCTTCAAGAGGCCTCCCAGGAGTGCCCGGAGAGGCCAACACCATTGACCATCCGTAGGTTTTTGAAGAAGTTGGAGGTTCTCGCATGTTCAGGTTGGGGTGGCCTTCGCTGTGATGTTCCTGCGGGCCCGATCGGCCGCCCCCGTCCGCGAGAGCCCAGCAGGCGAGAGCGGAGGGCCCCGTGCGGCGCCCGCGCGTGGCACCGCCCGGGCCACGAGAGGTGTGCGCGGGCTGCTCTTGCCGCGGTGGGAGCTCGGCAACAGAGCAGCCTCCTCCCCGATCCCCCATCCGCCCCTCCATGCCCCTCCCCCTGACCCCTCCATCCCCCCCTTCCCCGCCTGCCTTCCCCCTCCCTGCCTCCACTCAGCCATACCCCCCGCCCCGTCCGCCTGGCCATTCCAAGGGCCTCGTGCTAAGTAGCAGAGGGCTGAGGCGCACTGACCTCCATGGGTGTTCTAATTACTAATACTCTGTGTGCGTCGCCCCCCCCAGGGGCGACGCGCGCGCCGAGAAATCTGACAGTACATGCGTCGTGGCGGGCGTTTTCCGGCGACATCGTTCGGAAAACGATCTACTACAAGATGGACCTATCATGGGAGGAGGAGAAGGAGGAGGAGGAGGAGGAGGAGGAGGAGGAGGAGGAGGGGGGAGGAGGAGAAGGAGGGGGAGGAGGAGGAGGAGGAGGAGGAGGAGGAGGAGGAGG